ATTTTCTGGGAGCATTTCTCCAATCGTATTTGCTGCTTCCTTCCCATTAACTAAGGTATAATTGTGCATCAGAATTTTTTTTGAATTTGTTGCGATTTTCAAAACCCGTCACTCCCACACAGTGAGGATTTCTTCCTTTGCGGAATTTTTCGACAGAAAGTCGGTCATCAATGATGTCCTTCTTTGCCATTTCTCAACCAAATTAACTCTCAGAATCCTGAATTTTTCGAAATCCATTGCTATGAAAGTGAAATTTGAGCGGTGTCTCCTCTCAACCTATTAGGTACCGGATATCTTAGTGTCGCTTTTCTGAGTTCAGGAAGTTTTGGGGCCGATTACTATGGAAAATCAATATCTCAGAAAGTCCTTTTTGCTCATTAATACTGCGAAATATGTTGCTTATTGTTTTCTATTGTTGGTTCACAATTTAACTTTCCCCCAATTTTTATACTTTTTTTGAAAATTCCTGGGTCCAGTGTGCAAATTCGCATGTGTGTACCAAATGCTTCAAAATTCTTGCTGAGAGCTACAACTTCCGCCCACCAAACCAACATTGCATTTGTTGGAGGGAATACTACCATTTAAAATGCTCATCGGTTTTTCACAGTTTTCTCAAAAGACAGTGAAGTCTTTGAAGTGATGCCCGCAATCGTCGTCAAAAAGGTGGCCCTAGTTAAATCAGTCGAGACGGGGCTGCACCAGTCTTGTGCTGAAATGGTAGGACACCTTAGCAGTGACTGATCGATGATGCACAAACGCTTTAACGAAGTTGATTGCACAAGAAATTCTAATAAATGTGCTCATCTGCTACTCACGTGTGCTCAAAAAGGGTGCGTTTTTGACCCTATGTTAAAAAAGGCAGACCCTACTCTAACTAATTGTATACTTCTTTTGTCCAGGCCTAACTTTTTAGCAAGTGAGAGGGATGATTTGTCAGATGATGTCAAAACCGACCTACCTCTCTTTTTCGACTCAAAAAATTCCTAGCTTTAATCGTACGAGGTTTCCACTCATACTGGTAAATGGGAAAGTGCTAATGAGTCATTCGATGAATATGCTGTTTCACTCCCCGGATTCTGAATTAAAATATTGGTGGTCCGAAACTCGTGGTGAAAAAACGACACTAAGATACCTAATAGGATAAGGGAACTTAGTACCCACAACACCAAGAGGCTTCCTGTACAGCTCAGTATTCAGTTTCACTTCTACATTTAATCCTATGTAAACCAATGTTACGTGCCACGCAAAAGTTTGGAATGCGTAGATGCATCTTGCATGCAGTTTTTGCAAAAATCTAGCAGCAGCATGTTGGCCACAAAGACCTTGCAGTATTTGCAGTGGTTGGGGTATGTGTATCTTTTTCACTAGTAGTATTCTGCCGAATCTGGGATTAGGCTTCACCTGTTCCATCTCCTATCGTGGTAGACATGCGGACAAGCGTTGACATCAATCCATTGCTGCTTGAGAGGGCAACAAGGCTAGAAGTTCGCTTGACCCGCAATCCACTCCTTCATCCGCTAGCCCTCATTAGCCCTCATTCTCCACCTTCATTATAGAACTCACTCATTATAGTTGTGTTATAGTTATTCCTTGTTCAGTTGTGATTCAAAATGGTGTCAATTATTTCTCACGTGTGCCTTATGCAAACGTAATAAACTTACATTTAAATTCTCTCGTACACCCCCTTTCTCCAGAAACTTGCCTTTAAAAGAAGCTTTAATTTTAGAATGTACAAGGCGGGTTTTTATCAGCCAACCCTGTTTTAGACTTTTGGCAGAAAATGATCCAAATTCTGTTTCGCTCAACAGTTTCAGGGCTGGGTTATGGTCATTTTGACATGGTTGCTGTTGTAGATGCACGACTGCATAAAATGCATCTTTTGAAAACAAAAAACGTGGCGAACATGTGAAGAGTCGCCGTGTCGTCAATAACATCCAAAAATAATGCGAATTAATATGTTTGAATGAGGAGCGACCTTCATCAGTTCCGAAAAGCGAATAATAAGGAAGTAAAGGATAACACTTCTGGGGAAATTCCCTCATGTGAATACTCAGATTCTCATCTAGAGTTTTCATCGCTGCATTTCTTAGAGTAGCTGAAACCTTGCCCACCACATTCATCAAATGCACCTAACCGCTCTTCCAAGACCACATTTGTCATCAACGCACGGTCATAAATTTTAGACGTTTTTTTTGTAGGGAACTCCTAGTATTGCGCCTTATGCTAGTTTCCAAAAGAAAGAACGGGAACTCTTCTGTCGCTCTTTTGTGCAGGTGATTCTGCGAAACTCCATACTGGCATATTGTCTGAACGAGTTCCTTCCTTTCGATAGATACTACGTCAAATTCTGCGTCACCATTTGCCCCTACATGTTGTAATAATATCAATCCATCCATTAGAACTCCTGTGATATTTCATTTCAGCGCAAAGTATCGCCATCCCCTCTACTAAAGAGAGTGTCCATAGAGAGGTGGACAGGGCCACTTCACTGGCATAGCCTGGCGAATTGGGCCTGTTTTAGGCCTCTGAGTTGGGAAATCGGCACACCCCCTGGCTAGCGAAATGGTCCACCCTGGAGGTTCTTGAAATTTTTCAGTCTTTCCAATCGGGAGATTGTAAAATTTCAAGAACCTGAAATTGATTGGCTCAAAGAACCAGAGGATTATGGTTGCTGTTTTTGAAAAAACGAATGACAAAGTAGCTTCCACATAGCTTTTACTAAAGAGGACTCTTAAGTGATGAACCAGCATATTAAAGCAAAGGCTTTGTGGGGGTCCAGAGATTTGGCGGTTCTGAGTCATTTACGATTTGTTTGACAACTGCTGGTTGAACAAATCGAAGAATTTGTGTTCTTCAATCAAAGTTGTCGAAATTGTCCAGGCAAAACCAACAAATTCGCGACAGGGACATTAAGACTCGTCCCATTTCTTATGGCGAGCCATTGGGAGAAATCAGCTGACTACTCGTTAGACCACGTTTCTCAATTTTACAACGCATTTCACATCAAGCAACATCGACGATTTCATGCCATTCGCTGATCAATTTCGAATCCGGCCTGTTGTGCTGCTTCAACGCCCTGATGTTAAAATGTAAAGTGACACTTTAATCTAAAATAATCAGTGCAAGGAAACGCTTAAGAAAGTATGCATCATCACCACTTGTTCGTGCTCATAGCTTCAATGGGAGGTCGTTAACAACAGAAAAACTCTTACAAAATGAGAGCATAATTTGACTTCTTCTCGGTCACCTCCTCACATCAACAGAGTTCAAAGAAGATCTTATTACTCTTGATCTATAGACACCAGTGTTAGTATTCCAGTGGAATCATATACATATACGAAATAGGCCCTCATTAGGCGCCTTTTTGTAAAAAAAAATGGAGAATGGGAAGCAGAGGTAAGCGCCTTTCGGTGTAGAAGACTGGCGCATAATATTGTTTGCCATTAGTAGCTATCTTCAAAGGCAGCGATTGATGTTCGAAGAAAGAATTCACAAGGCTGTAAACTCACAAAGGCTTGAAGCCGACACGATTCTCTTGAATTGCGCATTACAGCGTCTTCTGATGGTTACAGGGACTCATAAGGCCGCCACTGGTCCGCAGAACTTCTTGCGAAGATCATTGATTAGCATGTTCATCGTTTGAGAATTCTTTTCTCTGCTGCTTCAAGTGGGAGTCAGAGTCTCTACCTGGTCGGTAGGGCTGAACAGAATGCGCCGATGTTCACTCTCGAATATCGCTCTCGGCGCACCATCACTAGTCCATATTTTGACTGTTTCCTTAGCGATGGTTCCTTTTCTCTCCCAGAAAACATGTCAATAATGCTCCTTCGCCCCCCCCCCCTTTTGCAATGCAATTGAAAAGTTTGCATTTGCATGAAAATGACGAATTATGAAAATCGTCATTCAACCATTACCACCAGTCAGATGGAAGCGGCATTGGAGAGCACCTCGTAGTATTAGGGGCACTTATGATTTCAGTGGTCTGTAGCACGACCGATCGCGGACTCTGACACACACGGAGAACGCGTGAATTCTCGCTCGCTCATTTGTTTCATTCTGCAACAGTCAAGACAAAAAAAAACAGAAAGAAAATTTGCTCACGACAAGTCATCCATCATTGTTATGCTGCGTATCATCGTCTGCCCCACACCTTTTTCTTAATCAATCAAAAATATGATTGAGATCTATCGGCCACAGTGCTGTGGTCACTGTATTCGTCAAACAATGATTACATAAAGACAGTTTGAGTTCAAGCAGTTGTGCTCTTTATGCAACATAACCCTGTGCTGATATGCAAAAATTTTGTAAGCATCACGTATGCTCTTTCCGCACCCGTTTCTTAACAAATCGTGACAAACAGTTTTTTCACCTTGATTTTTTTGGAAATGATTTTTGACATTTGTTATGAATGAGCGTCCCGATTATGTTTCAGTGCATTACTGTTCACTGAATTTGTCTGTGTGCCGAAGTGGCTTTAAAACGGAACTGGCCCTGAAAAATGTCTGCCGCTTCGATTTCTGATCACCAAACTTGTAATACGTGTAATATGGAAAATGTAATGTAATACCTGTAATCTCTGTAAAGCTCCCTTAACTCCGGGTTAACGTGTCGTGATTAGCTCACGTGAAAGTCATGGTTCGGTGTGAAACGCTCTCCTTGCTCACGTTAACCCATGGCAACATTAATACCAAAAACTCATTTTGAGGTGGACTTAGAGCGATAGCTTCTATAGCTAGTTCGTAGTTACGCAGAGAAAAAAATGGGATTGAAGAAGTGCAGATACCACGTTGACCATCCAGCAAAAAGCGTACAGTTCCTGGAGAGTTCCACGGCCTTTCTTTTCTCTGAACGGCTCCACCAAGTAGGAGCTAAAGCCATCAAGTGGGGGTTGAACCCTACATGTTAAAGACGCGCACGTTGGAAGCAGAGTGAAAAGCGAAAAGAAACTGATCTAGCTCTGCAAAGGTGTTTCTATGTTGCCGATCAACTGAATATTTTCAGCCGGACTAGTTGAATACGAGGTTCCGCGGATTCGACTCCCCTCCTCTCAACAATGCTTTCCGGAAGGTTGTGTTCAGGTACGTGTCTACAAACGCATGTGCAAGATCCTGTGCCTTTCCTGTCGATTTTATACTTGTATCCCGTATCAAAACCAAAAGAAAGACAGGGTCCATTACACAGACGTTCGCATTAGCGATGCACAAGTTGCCTTACAGGCAGCGCCATTCCTCCATACATTTTTCGCTGTTAGGAAATACGCCTTGAGAGTCTTAGTAAAGGAAGTTGTATGGTATCAAAGGATGTATGTATTACAAATATCAGCTTTAATAAGGTATTGTATTTCCATAGCCAAGATTCAGAGGCCCATAACCTCATTACTACTCCATTAAAAAGCTCGCGGTCAGCAAAGGACGCCTGGGAATTCTGCCGAGTTTATCCTAGTCGCTTCATGCCTTCTTCAAATTGGGGATTTTTCAGAACGAGTAAGTTGGCTGATCGAATTCCATGCACTCTTCATTGACCCAATGAGCACGGCAGTGGAGGTAGAAGGAGAGTGTCTAGCGAAAGAGCCCTGAGTATGGGATTACGTTTACACATCGGCTCATGCTTGAAGGAATCTTGCGCGGAAAAAATCACGATTCTATTTCAGCCATAAATCACTGGCATAAGTCCATCCTATTCCATCGATCGATTTGTCTCCACTCTCCGAAATCGCGCGCTTTAACCCGATTCTCTCATTGCGTCGCCTGGTACGTAGCCGGCCAAACGCCGTCTTCTTTCCATGCCTCGCCTGGCTCTGCCTCCTGGTCCTTCGATGGTCCATAACGTGTAGTTTTTGTACGTTTGTTTCTCTTCAGAAACCGAATCTTCATGCGTGAAACTTTGTGTGCTATTTCCAGTGATCACAACTGACATATTCATGTTAGGAAAGAGTGCAAGAATTTTCCGCGCAAGATTCCTTTAAGTCTAGAGTTAGCCATAGACTTGGGCTGAGGCTTGCTACCAAATCAGTGGTGTCTCAATTTGAAATGACCTGGCATGAGGAGAAGAACCGATATACAGCCGTCTACCGTTCCCACATCGACTAGATCGTTAAGTCACCTTTTCGAAGGCTTAAGGGTGGGAAAGGAACGCACTCCGTCTACCGAGCTAAGCTTTGCAAAGTAGACGCTTGGAGCAAGCAACGATTCAACCCTGCGTATTGTAACCAATTCATAAGCTTCAGCTGGAAGGTTATTTCCAGAACTAGATAAAAGTTCGCGAGTGGTTCGATACGAATTCTTGATACGAATTCTTTTGCATTCGGTCCGGGCATATTCTACTCCCACGCCACCGACCTTTCCCACTCGATCGAATAGTTGTCATTCTCAACGATGACGATTTACCGGTGACTGGCGTGGGGTGAGAAACATTTCTCTCTAAAGCGTCCGATGGTCGAGTATAGTTTCAGTTAGACTCAGCGGGATAAGGATAGAGCAAGCAAGTGCTAGATGTAGCGGACGTTGAGCTCAGCATGAATCGTGGAATACACTTGCAGTAGTATAGAAACCAGAGAGTTGAAGCTTCGGAATTTTTGTCGGGCTCCCTACATGTCGGATGACCCACCAAATTTCTCTGATTTTGTAATGTTGTGGTGCCAATCCTTCGTATGTTTATAGATTCACTCACTTCAAATGACAGGATTTCGCCAGCCGTCGTTTGTCTCTTTTGGACCGTATCCGCCTAACCAGTTCGTCATTCGAATCACCGACTTCGATTTCTTGTAAGCCCTACCTTTTCGATACGACTTTCTTGTGTTAACAGGGGTAAAACAAACCATTACTTATCAAAGGTGCTTGTGATGCACTGCTGCTATAGCATTAAGCCCTGACGACTGGTGACGCGGCTGCGCGTCAAATTTTAGCTAGAAACGTACTGGTATTTTTTCAATTATCTAGATTTTTCATGCTTCAAAGCTTTACTTATAATCTTTCTCGGATTTAGAAAAGAATACACACGTTGAGTGGAAAATACAAAAAATGAAATAATCTACAAAAGATGCCGAAACAAGGGAAAAATTGATCGCATAAGGGTTGCATCAGTGCATTAAAGGCAAGGGTCGGGCTCGATCTGGGGTACTATGGCGTTTGAGCCTGATTATGGAGATGCAAAATGGAACGACAGTGACGAAAAATGAAAAGAAACTGTCGACAAAATGGCGACCCTTCTTCAATAACAGGGAAGAGGGTGGCATAGCAAGAAGTCTCTCACAGGAGTTTTGGGATTGCCAGCCATTGCAGACCAGCGCCAGAAGTTGATAGGGCAAACAGCGCACCTGATTTCACGCCCTGAGCAGCGACGCACCAATTCCAAAAGTGGGCCGTCATAGCTAACGCTAGGCCGCAATAGTTAGCAGTGCTTTCTCGGGGGCCTCATTACCCACTGTTTCGAATTACGAGCGTGGTGGCATCTCTGTGGGTCGTAACCAGGTACAGAGGTGATGGAAGGGATGGGTTCGGTGACCCAATCCCTTGGGCCTTTGACTAATGCGCACACAACACCACCATTTATGCTGGGTACCGCTCATGGGAATGGCTTGAAGTTACCTAAAGCAATTATCATTCAATTTACAACAGCGGTGTTTGTCCATTATTTTTTCACGGAATCTTCTTCCGTTTTACTTCCATCTAGCCATAACTAAGCCTACTTTTCTACTGTCTCTCTTTCAAGCAATTTTTTTGAAGTGTCGCCGGCCAGCTTGGAGGAACAATCTCCGTAATTATCCAGCTGCCTGTGGTAGGTCGAGTACTAGTCACAGGTGAGCTCATCAGCACTGAAGATTTTGGCCGTACTGAAGGGTGCCTCAGAAGTATGAGGGGTACTTGCAGGACAACGCGTGTCAGTTTCGGCGTTTTTCGATATCCAGAAGTCAGTGAATGACCAGCCATACCTCCGAATGACAGGATGCCAAATAGACGGCGGCGTCGTGCAGACAAGGGTAGCAGATGTGGGTCTGTTCACTGACACCATCAACTCCAAATATCAGGTAAGTACTGAATCGTTCTCTTAAGTTAGTCCTTACATACGCTTCCAGAGAGCTCTTTGAGAATTTCAGGCTTTCAGAAAGTGCAGACTCAATATGAGTAATGTTTATAAAAATCCAAGATAATAATAGCCCGTATAGCAATTCAAGGATGTTATCTTTTGGCTACATAGTGGGCAAATCGTCTGTGAAAGGAGTCCCTGCGACTTGCTCGAAACTCTAGCTCGTTTTCAGGGTGCCATGTCGGCGTCATCCAAGGTTCAGCTCCAGGAGGCTATCTGTGAGAACATCTACCGCCTCACTCAACAGCACTTCTCCAGCCGTCTCTCAAAGCTGCCTACACGAGTTTCTGCTCGTTCACTGTTCAAAACATTCTTCAACGTGAGTTCAAAAAATTATTCAATAGGAGCATTTTTGTTCATTTTGGAGGTATACGGTGGCACAGAAGTGGTAGCAACACGCTTCACCACACTCATGGCTCACAGGTCGAGCAAAGGTGGAGCATTGCCCGGAGCATCAAATCCCATACCTCTGCGATCGGTCTAGGCGGAAGTGGTGCAGTGGCAAGTGGTGCTGCGTACCACACGCACGGTCAGAAGACCAAACCCATGTTTCATGCGTTAGTCCAGCTACAAAGTCTTCGATCGGTGGTTCCTGCAAACATAGTGTAGCTGACTCGCATTCATATGCCAGGACGATCTTAAAATGGAAAGTAAAAGTGCGTGGGCATCCAAAAATGAAAACTGATCATGCGAATTGTTTTTATCCTTTATTTTGTCGAATCTGAACGAAGGGCGAATTTGCTGGGGTGAAGGGAGAGCGGTGTGGCGCGCCAGTATCAGAACATTTAGCATTCCGGACCGCCCCTCCTGCTCTGAATCGGTCAGGCCGTAAGCGTAGTTTGTACTGGAGTCTGGGACAGCGTTATCATTAGTGTGCAATTTTCGTTTGTGAGGTGCACTTCGCATCAGACGGCCATATTTTATAATTTTGTCGACTCAGAGCACATCCACCAAAACGGCCTTGGTCTGTCTCATAATTCGTCCGAAGTCAACAGCACTTGAAGATCCCAGATTATGGGTTCTTGAAGGCTTATCAAACTTTTTTCTTCACTGCCGCATTCTGCATCTCTGCTTCCACTTTCATAAACTTCATCATAATCGCTGCTTTAACGTAATCCCGCTCTGGGGAGACCGGCATAATTTCCACTCCTCAAGAATCTTTGTGGCAGAATGCGCACCTCAGAATTCCTATTCGGACGGACGATCTTGGTTTCAACCCTAGAGGCTGGAGTGTCTGGTCGTTATTCAACACACTGCAGCCACCGATTTATATGACTCTTGCTATGAAATTCCACAAAATTACCCGAAGCGACATTTGTGCATTGCCGGGTATGCAAATCGGTTTTGAGCTCTCCTTCGAACATTCATGGCTGCTCTACATCGCCGATTTTTTAGAATTTTTCGGAACTTAAAAGTTACACACCCCTCATCTCACTTGGAAGTATTTAACACGGAATTTAAGTAGCTGCCGACCGCTGCATATACAATACTTTCTGATAATAAGCAGAGCGAGCGAGAAAAAACAACGAAAAGCTGAAAAAGCAAGAGAAGAAGCAATACATTGCCAGCGCAATTGGATGGCTCATATTTGAGGTTATGTGGGTCCTGTGGGGGAACACGATTTATAGAGCTCTTATTACGAAATTCCACAAAATAACCCTAAGTGACATTTGTGCATCGCCGGGTGTGCACGCGAGTAATGGAGCTATGTATGTCACGTGTGACGTGCGCCGAAATCATTACGGACGTTAATGTATTAATCTACAGGAAAGTCTACACATTATAAAGGCAACGGCGCTCTCGATCGCAATCCAAAGCTCTTGTTTTGCCTCATGAATGATAGCGATATCGAGAGCAGAAGTACGGCAAAGCGCTCTCTCAATTTTCTGCTGGACTTCAAGTTTCGCGTTTCGTCAATGAAAAAGTAACGATGATCGTTCCAGATAGTCTGCCCGCGAACAACCTGCAGTGGAATAATTTTGCGTGTCCTCATCCAACCTAAACTTCTTCGAATTTTTTGTTAAGCGGAAGGGGGAGGGGCGAGGGGGGAGGATGGCGGGGAAATTGAGTTTTTACGCAACTTTGGTTTATAAATAATTCACTTTTCCTTTCCATGCTGTATCAACGACCTTCAATGACATTGAATACGATCTCTGCTTTCTCCCGCAAAACAAACACGATCGAGGAATACTCGATCATAGTTCACCCTGCTCACTGCTGTTTGAACCGCTTGTCCGGAGGGCTCCTTTGATTCCTGTGCGCCCATCGATTTGAAGATAGGTTATTTCTTCAATAAAGAAGACGAAGAATTAGTATTGAATTGTCAGTAGGAGTCCGAATAAGAACATGCCCAACGAATGCTTTGTGACCAATTTTTGAGGATCTTGATAGAGGTTTTGACCAATCCTGCTACAGTCAAACGATGCTTACCGCTACTGTGAAACCTGTTTTATCATAGAGGCAAGTCACGCGAAATTCCAAGCTCGGCAATGTTTGCACTACGAAGGGAGCGGGCTGCAAAAAGAAACTTTGTGTCAACTGGCCGACAAATCGAGTTGTAGTCAGCCCAACATTCATTGTCCGCATTTGTGCCACTTTCGTAAGCGCTATCACATTTAAACAGATCCATAGATAACAAATAAAATCGGACTTTTCAAAATTTAGTCTTTCTCGAGCAAAAACTGTTATCATAAAATTCCAAGGCGTTGGAGGCGTTTGTGACCGGTTCACATAAAAGGCACACGAAAGCCGAAGCTTCTGATCGGAAGGCATTCTTCGATTTAGTAAGATTACGACGAAAACGCTGGTCAGGACATGGCGTCGCCAGCCACCGCCACTAGCGAGGTCTCTGCAACCCTTCTTCCCATCTTCCGATAGTCGATGGAGTTAATAGTATCGTCTAATCTGGTCCCTACCTGACACTAATGTCACACTGCCAAAATCTGTCCCCAAAATTCTTCCTGCAACTCTTCTCAAACAGTGGAGAGGTGTTGAGCAGGGGTTTTTTTTCAGTTGTAAATTCTATGATAGGAAGCATTATGCAATGAAGGCCACCCAGCAAGTCCAGAAATTGCTTTTAAATGTGTTCATCAAAAACTATGTCAGCTCAGGAAATGCGCAGTTCATTCCGAGTTTTGTGTACACGATAAATGATGATTTATAGTTTAATTCAGACTGGGGATAACGTTCAGCGCCATTCCGTGTCGGGCAGGTATGACTGACGCTCACGTTTTTCTTTTCCCATTTTTTCCTATATTCTTCCTTTCCATCTTATAAACAAACGTTCAAATTATCCTGTGGCTGCCGTTTAATCCTATTTCCCCCATCATTCGAACTAAAAGCATCTGATTTCAGCGCGAGTGAAGCGCGCCTCTGAGGACTATTACGATGAGATTGATGGTGGTGAGAGAAAGCCTCCAGCCATACCTACCTCTTCCTCCAGCAGAGCACCTTCAAAGAGCTTAGTTGCAGGTGAAAAGTAAAACCAATGCAATGCACCACAATAATTTTGCATGGCGTCACGCTATGGTGGTAGCTAGTAATGTTATAATAACTGCTCACGTACACATTTTTAACATCTTGCACTCTGTGTTAGCCCCACTAGCCGTGACGGAGGGACGTGGTTCTGCAAGACGCTATTGGACTTGGGAAAAACGAATAATCGTGACAGTTATCACAACATGAACGTTATTTCCTCTCCGGCCGTGCCTTCTGCCTCACTTAGAAAAATTTTCGTGTTAATCGAATTATATCGGCTGAGAGCTAATCATCTATGTCTGTATGTATGCTTTTCACAAATCCGCAAGACACTGTCGCACCTAAAGACGTCATCTGGTGCCCGAACAGGAAGGGCAAGTCACCGCGAAGGGAGGGTCAAACGACGACTCTGCAGTGCGCAGCTGTGTCAATTGCAGGACGTATCAATGGTACGTTGACTGCGACTATGACACATACGTAACGCGAACCGTCGCTAATCTCTATCCTTTTTCCGCCGGGCCTCTGCTTGTCGGGCTACTGCCAAAGCTAGGAGTTGAACATCTCTGCACAATACTTATGTTTGTGTCGAGCTTCCTGCCCGCAAATCTACAGTCACTGCACTTCAAATACCACGTCTCTAAGTTATTGCTAAGCCAGATCTAGAGTTCAGATGTTATGCGAATTTTTCAAGGTTACTGCAGAAAATGAACATAGAAAGGAAGAGTTGAACTTATTCAATGTGCTTTAATTTGTAGCAGTGATTTTTTGATTTAACCTGGTAGGAAGTGCAACTACGCCGCTGCGTGTGGCTAACGTGTTAGGCTAAGGGCGTTTGGAATAAGACTGAAGTCAGCATAGGCAAAATGCTCCGGGATAAGAGTTTTGCTGTGCAGAACAAAGGCCAAGCTGACCTCTCGCCAGAATTCCTTACCTTGTCTGCAATTAATTTGGAACTTAGACCTTTATTTTCACTGTTGTGCTTAGTTTTGGAGGCACATCATGGACAATGACGCTTTTTTATGGCTGCCTAAAAGAAGTTCAGAAACAAGTCAAAAACGCAATCAAGAAATGAAGATGTTAATCTATGACATGTAACTCTGAATCCACATTTATTCTGTAAACATATAAAGAAACTTATAAAGATGTAATCACGGCGAACTTGAGCAGCTTCCAGTCCTCTTAGAGTTTATCCACCTTACCTCACCATCGTGGGTAGGTTGAAAACTAATGTCCTTGCGCTTGCCTTGCATTTTTGCACACAACTGAAACAAATGTAATAATATATTAATCAATGATGTTCAGACCCCGTCGATTATTTTAGGGCTTCGGTTGCACTTTCACTTACATTTGCACATTACTGTAATTAAATATTTGAAAGATACTGGAGTCTCGCGTTTTGAAACTGCGTATTTATCAATTTGAATCTGACATATATATCGGTGTTTTCAGTTTGAGTGATTAGGTGGGATCGGTAAAAAGCAATTTCCGATAAGAACGACTGATTTTAAAGAATATCCGTTATAGCCTTTTATCTTGTATACTGAAGAATGGCAGCTGTGAAAAAGCCGATTTCTGCCATCCAGACTTTTCATCTTAAGTATTACGTCTGATTACGACTATAATTTTAGGGAAAATGACTTACACGTTTTTTAGAGGCCGTAAAATCCTGTGTAACGCGGTTTCTGGTATGGTCTGTTATCTTGGTGATTTATACGTCTTCGAAAAATCGCTACTATAATGCTCCAATCCAACGTGTAGAGTGTGCATTCAAAAAGGAAATTTAAAGGTTGTCCTCTCTGCAAAAAATCCAAGTTCTGAACCGTTTGCACCGTTTAAAGCGAGTAGTGCTAAAATACGTTAGACGTAACTTATGAAGCCCTTATCAGCCTTAATACCATTTTTATCATTTTGCGAATCGCGTCAGCTCCCGCCGGCTGCATTATGGACGCACCGCTAAACAGTAGTGTCCAAAAAAACCGATACTTCCATTACTGACTTCAAACACTG